CTTGACTTCCATGTTATAGTCATTGATTCCGATTCCACATTAAAACGGTTTTCCACTCCTCCATGCTGAGGCATTTCAGTCGTGTCCTGAACGGCTTTTCACCGCTGCTCATCACTGCCCTATCGCTGTCTTGTCACAGGTAGGTTTTGCTATTTCGAATATTCATCAACACTGAATACGGAACAAGAGTCCTTTCTGCAAGAGATGTTTTGGACTGTCATGAATGGCAGAAAAACGCATAATAAATAATTACAAGCATTTTATATCACACACTGACGTTTCTGATCAAACTCAGTCATTCTTCAAAAATTACATGACTTGCAGAGTTACACTGATGCAGAAAAGGTGACAATAAGAACCTTAAAAAGAATTCAAAAGTGCCTCCAGCAACGAGGCAGGTCTGAAATTTAAGCTGAAGAAGGAAATTGCCATGTTGAATAAGTAAAATGGTCTTAAGTTTGAAGAGGTACAAAATCATGTCTATTCGGGACAGTCAATCTCTGCGACGATGAAGCGACTCTGCAAAATTACAGCAAAAGTGGCAAGGAATACATTTGCATGATGGAAAACATACTTATGCGGAAAACGGCCTTAATATTGAAATGGAAAGTTCAGTTTGTGCTCTCAGTGCTAACCTACGGATGCGAAACGTAGACCGTAACTGACCCTCAGAAAGCCATTCATAAACTGCCGACTACGCAACGCAGCATGGGTATATATTCGGGATAACAAGAAATAATAGTTAGAGTGAAGGGATAAAGGGATAACGACACTGACAAGAGTCTACGATCTCATTATAGAGTGATGAAATTGATATGGCAGTGGTAAACACACCTTACTAGAAGAACCGACGATTGTTTAACCAGAGAAATATGAGACTGATTTCCAAGAGATACGAAAACAGTTAAAGACCAGTTTGCAGGGCTCCCGATTGATGGTGCAATGAGCTTAAGAAGTTCGGTAGATAAAATATTTCATGGAAACAGAAGTTCAGGGTCACGTTTTCGATGCCTTCATCCAGCGTGGCCGAAAATGTCTGACGACTTTCGCGCACATTCGGTTGAACCACACAACTGATGACGCAATGCTTGTCATTCTAGACCTAAGAAACAGTTTGATCGATCGTTCATCGCATCGCAAATATACGCCAAAAGTGATGACGCCATACTTTGTGTCATGAATGCGCATAGTTTGTCATTTTATAATTTAAGACACAGACAGTAACAAGTGTACAAACACATTGTGCTCATTAAAGGGAGACTAAAGCGGTGGTCAGATCTAAATGTGGTCGCTGTCGAATCCAAGAGCGGGTTCGTTAAGCGGTGTGGATATAGGCTGTAAGGAAGTAACAAATCAGTCAGCATAGCAAAGCACAGAAATGAATGAAATGAGAGAGAAACGCCTGTAAGAAAAGCATCATGAAGTAATCATCAAAGAATTCGCTAAAACGGACGATAGTTGCGTACGGCAAATCGATCAGCCTAATTGAACTTTCTAGAAAAGTTCAGCAATTCATAAAAAAATCACAATACAGAAAAGAACAAATTCCACCATCTAAAGGCGAAAAAAATGTGCCAGAATGTTAACAACAGTCGAAAAGAACAAATGGCAGCTTTCGAGCATTACATTTCAAAGAACACCATTGACCACCTATGCCACAGTATTGACAGGAAACTGAACACCTTACACCACGACACCACTGCCGGTCTCATTAAAGCATTTGGTGAAGCTTATGCAATCAAGTACTTGATTGCCAATTAATGTTCAAAGATTTTTCAGCTAGTTGCAATCACGTAATCAGAATACTTAGGCTCTACTACCGAATCTCCTTTTGTTTATTCTTTCTTCATTTGTCATAATTTCTGCTGAATTTTTCTTCCACCTTTTTTTTCTTATGATCTTGACTTCTTGCTACGATGTCTGTATCATATACTTGCTTATCTTAGCAACCCATGAACACGATATCTTCTCTGTACATTATCAACTTGTACAAATGGAGAAACACCGTTATGGACTCGACAGGATCACTTAATTAAAAAATTAATTTCAATGCTTGTAGCGGCACCTTTTATCCCTCACCATAAAGAGAATCAGTTAATTTTTTCAAGCAGAAACGTTAACGCTGTTTTAAAAATTTCATATTTTCGTAACTTGCCAGTTGACAGATTACTCCTATCATTTAATGTATAAACGTACGTGTTGAAATAAAGCGAAGTGTAAATTCACTGCAAGCGATAAAACAAAGGAGAAGCAAAAAGATCTGAAATCAGGCAAGACATTAACATGAAATTACTTTCGAAATATATGCTTTACTTTTTATGAATGACGGAAACGAATTCATATGCGCCATTATGCATAAACACGAAGCAACTTGCCACGACAATTATACAATACAGTTTAAAAACAATACAGGATAACGGCAAGTTTAACTAATTTCATACGCAATGACACAATGAGAGAAAGTAAATGAGTCATGAAGATCAACAAATCTTGTTCTGAATACCGTAACGAATCACATAACCCGAAAGAACGGCTCATAATGAAACGTCACAACAAAACCATTGATCAAGCGAACCGAGGTTCACTTTGCAAGGAAGGTTCGGGTTTTAGTTCACTTTGCGTTGAGTTCACATTTCGAAAAGAATCACGTTGCCTGAAGAACTCGCAATGCTATCTTCGCTTCCACTGGGTGTCTCGGCGGACTTATCTTCTTCATAATCGAGTACCACTCGTTGCATGTTTCTGACCAAATGTTGATACCTGAAATAGATGCCAAACATGCCCTTGAGAATGAGGAACACTGAACCGCCGTAAAGCGTTCGACGAACGGGACAATGAGTCACATCAGCGAACCAGAAATCACCGACTCTAGAAGCGATAATCGGAAGGGCCAAGGCTCCACAGAGGACACGCGTCGGCGATAGCGGTTGAAAAACATTCATCGTTCGATCCTGCAAATCACACATTGAGCTTTCTTCATATTACATAAAATATTTCGAGAATTATTAACCTCAATGTAGTAATCTTTAAATTAAATAAAGAGGTGAATAAGAAAAAATAGACACGAATCAACTGGAAATTTGCAATCATGTGGGTAATGCGATACCGTCATCATGGGTGGCCTCCTGGTCAAAGTGAAGCTTTATAAAATGCTTAAAAATGACATCCCACCAAGTACGCTGGGATATACACTCCTGAGCCGCCATTTTTACTGTTATCACACTGACATCTTTGGTCGTTACTGCAAGCCGACAAGTCATTCAGCACGGATTAAAGAACGGTTCCGTAAATAAAATTAAATAACGATTAAATAACTTCACAACCATCGAACATACTGTATGACATAAATGCAACTGAAGATCTGTATCACTCCATTTAGGAATATATGTGACTGTATTTCTCTACAACTAGGCATACGTTCTATTATAAACTATCGCCCATGAACATACTTCGCCGTGCTTACTCATATTTATGAAGATTCGCAAAAGCACATGCGGTGTTACTGAAAAATCGCTGGCAAAATCGAGCAAGCAGTTGCTTCGGCCAGAA